TATGAACCCTGCCAGCCTTGTTCTGTCTGTCCAGCCGAGCCTTCTTTGGCCAATACCAAAGAACGGAGTTAGACACCCAGTGAACTGCGGGTGCGCGCTCGCGTGCAGGGGGGGGGCTGGACCGCCCTTCTCCTTCTACCCCGGAAAGAGAGAGAGAGAGCGAGAGAGAGAGAGAGAGAGGAGAAGTTGACTACGTAGGGGGAAGAAATAGGGTCTATCATGTTGATTTTGGTTGACTTAGCTCTCCTTTCTTGACAGTACAACATTGTCCAACAGTGCGTGTGTCTTCTGGAGAAAGTACGACTATTCCCGCTTCGTCATCGTACACTATAAAGCTTTAGCTTTCGGACTAGTCTACTTTCGCACTTCACTCCCCAGGCCTGATCAATACGTGCAGCGGAGCCACATCACAACTAAAGCCTGATGGCCGCCTTATTCTGCGACATTTCTCGCACGAAACTCACAGTTTGTTTTGTGTTGGGAGCTTGAAGCCTCTCACGGGCGACAGGTCCTGGGCCCTTGTTGCAGATGTGGGAATCCTGAAGTCTGGCTGTGCTACTTGCGATCAGCTCAAATGCAGGATGTTCATGATCCTCGGCCCCTTCCTGCTATCTTGCCTGTTGCTGGAGCTTTGGGGAGCGGGCGGCTTACACAGTTTCGGTCGGCATGTCACATGTGACGCACTTGCCACAAAACTATTTATAACCAAGGATTTTGCAACTTCACGCACTTACAGCTCGGACTACGCTGGCGTCCTAGACAGACGACTATGACAAATGCATATCTATGCTTCATGGAGACAGGAAGAGGGTTTAGAAACTCGACAGGTGTATACCACCCCTTGTGGCTGTGCTGTGATTGGGGTTGACCTGGCGCTTCTGGCCTTCTACATCTTCAATGTTCGTACGACCTTGTCACGAGAGGTGACGAGAAGCCAACAGTCAAGCTTTCATGTTGCCATGATTTGCAACGCCGTGCTGTGGCTATGCTAGCCTGACCTGGCCTGCAGTCTGGGCGGGCTGACAGCTACTTCTACCGCCGTTGGGGAGTCGCCTTCGGTTGCTGGCAGGGGGCTTGGCTGGGCTCAGCAGGCTCGGACTCAGCATGTGTATCTTGTTTGAAATCTCAAAGGTTCGGGGCTCTGCCCTTCTCTGCAGCACTCTCCAAGATCCTGCTGGCACCGTGCAACAGCGGCAAATAGTTGTGTAGAGATTTTTGGCTCTGGCCGAGAGCTCACTGGAGGCACACCATGCGATTCCCTCCTCCATGTGTAAACTGGTCCGAGCACGTACGCGTCGTTTGAAGCACCGGCTGACAGGCACGAAACCCAAATCGAGTTGAGACAGAACAGAGGGCAGCCATGCATCAAGTACGGGTTCACCACATACTTGGAGTTCGCGAAGACAACCAATCAATGGGCTGTGAAAAAAACATTCTTCCCTCACCGTTGTCGAGCGAACGAGACACCACTTGGGTGAGTTGGCACAGTGGCTGCAATCCTTGCGTGACTAACAGCAACAGGTAGGCATGGGGAGGTCGTTGTCGGTCGTGGTGGCGGACGACCTTGTGTCTGAATGCACCTAGGTGATGTGCGTCTCTTGTAGCACACTGTTCCAGAAACAGCCTCTTGTGACATCACAGCCGAACTCGAAATTTTAGTCAGTTGTGGGCGTCGATGCATGTCGATGCTGAGATCTCTCGCGAGTTCACCACTCCCTGCTTTCAGTACAGTCTTTGGAGCGAGTTCGGCTGAACGAAAGCAGATCGATGTGGAGACCAAGGTACGTTTGGTACATTGTGAGCCTGTCTATTACGAAAGGAAGCAATGCACTCGTCTATGGTGCTTTGGTCGTCGCACTTTGGCCTGAAAACCGAAGGACGCTTTATTCTCAGTGTGAGGTTACATGGCTCTGACATGTGCAGCTGAGAGACTGTGCACTGTGTTTCAAGCATCTCACAGGACTCATTTCAAGCTGATCTCTGCCTCCCCAGAAGAGTTGCTCGAGAATTGTCCATCACCAGGAGGCAGCGCAAAAGAACACGAGGCAGCAACACCTGGTCACAATGAGAACATCTATCACTTTTTCGCATGCGCACAGCCTTTGCTTGATGCAGCATGGGAGGTTTCCGATTTCCTACCTGGTGCCAAGCTATGGCTGAATGCCAGGGATCTTCCGAATCTCCTTAGTCAGAAGTTCGTGTCAGACGCTGCTTGGCCGATGTTCAGCCCTGACGTCTATGCTGCCCTTTCCGTGGGCCAAAGTTCCTGTTCTCATTGTCTGAGACCACAGCTCTGTGCGGCTTGAAGAGTTGTATGTGAAGGTTCGGGGCCCGGGAGTCTGGGGCGACGCTAATGCCTTCCTGCGCCACTTCTGTAGCAGTATACTGATGGGAGAGAGGCCTTATGCTTTAAGTTGCGCTACATTTTTTCGGTAGGTGCAAAACTAACAGATTCAAGAAGTTAAATAAGCTAGACAATTAGAGTAACAGAAGTTAAACAAGCTAGATAACTGGAGCAATCTAAACAAGAGGAGCACATGGTTGCGATTAAACAGAAAACCAAATACCGTAGCTGGTTTAGATGGAATCAAACAGGGGTCCGGCCCTCCTAGTACGCAAGCAGACATGAGTTTCGATAATCGGAGAACCGAATCGAAAGGTGGAACATTAACGAATCGAACATTTGTTTCAACTTTATGCTTTTCGTGTGTGCCCGCGCTTTTCGCACTTCCCCAATCTTCCCCATACTTTTCGGGCTTTTTGACTTTTCATGACTTTTCGCGTTGGCCTGTGTTTTCTCCATTTTGGTGCTTTTTGGTGTTTTCGGCTTACATTTTTTTTCGCATTTCGTACTTTTCTGTACTTTTCGGGTTTGGAGGCTTTTCGACCTCTAGCCAGTTTTTTTCTGAGCTCAGCGAGCTTTTCGGTACATGTCGGCTTCTCGACTTTTCGTGTTTCACTGCGGTTTTCGTTTTTTTCAGGTTTTTATATATAAAGACCCCAGGCCAGGCTAGGGTAGGCTTAGCTAGCACAAGGCTGGTGGGCTCGGGGTAAGCCTAGCCAGGCCCAGCTGTTCAGTGGTGTAGGAGTAAGTGCAGTGGCAAGGCCAGGGCCAGACCCGGGATAGGTGCGCCAAGAGGGAGTCGAAAATTAGGCCACCACCAGCGTCACCAACCACAGACCCACCAGAGCGCGACTGCGGTACCTCCTCTATCCATTTCACCCTCACAGTCCTCACGCACCTCCCCCTACCCCGGACCACGACACATCTCATTCGCATCCCTAGCATCATCGCGCATTTCACCGAGATTCTCTCACACACCACACACCTCACCAACACAATCAACACCTGATGCCTTCCACTTCAAGTGCCTATGCGCTATAGCAAATGTTCCCGCGACGTGGGGAGCCATGCAAATAGGCATACCACGGGTCAGCAACGCAGAAGTGCAGTCCAGGTTAAATGCAACTTCACTGAGTGATGAGCCGCTTCGCGGACCACAGTGGTGGTGGTAGCCTGTTGTTCTGCGCCTGACCAGTGTTTTCGCCACGTATGGCAAAGCACCATCGGTGGCTCTCATCACAGCACTGGTAGCTGTGACAACCCTCGCTTCTGTCAACCCTCCGCTCGCCCTCGCAATCTGCACATGAGCAAGAATCACAAATGCAGTCATGAGCTTGCAGCTGTTGCGGTGGGGACCACTGGACTTGGGACCAGTGCGGCTCGTTCGAGATTCATGTGGGTCAGGGTTTCCCTGCCCAGCTGGGCCTGCGTCTGTAGATGCCATGGAGTCGGCGCTGGACTCTCCACTTCCTTCGCTGCCCTCCTTTGCCTGTTAGGAGTTTGCGCAGCCATCCAAGGATACTCATGGTGGACAAAATTAGCCATGGTAATGCAGTGTATACTTGCCTGCAGCACCTCGTTCGTGTCTGGTTTGGGCCCTTTCGAGGCTCCCACTCGGCTCCCAGGCAGGAGGGGCCGGAAGTCGCGATCCTGATCAGAGCATGAGTGCGGTATTTGAACGTACCGGGAACAGCAGTGAATGACTACACCGGCCGTCACGATCACTTTTTTTGCTCTGAAAAAAGACGCAGCCCTTCCTTGCAGCTTTCTTTGCATCCACGACCAGTGCAAGGGTGCAGTTGGATCTAGCACCGGAAATGACTGCAGAGGATCCCGGCATCTGTTCCACAAAGTGAACATCGGCTCGCACCTTTCGGAGGCCGCCCGCAAGCAGCCCGTCCCGGGTTGTGCTCCGGTAACAGTCGCTAGTGGTCCCATGGTACACCGTGGCCGGCAGATCGGCTTCACTTAGCTCCTGCGCGATAAGCGACTTCTCGACCTCAAAAGAGTGGCCTTGAACCGCTCGTGCCATCTCCTCACCATCCTTCCACACCAGCTCGAACCTCTGTTTTGCGTTCGTGCTTATGGCACTCCTGATCTCTGCACTCTTCACTCTCAGAGCCCTTAGCTTCGGGGTGTTCACGAGCTCAGAGATCCTGAAAAGTCCGTCTTTCCGGATGGTGAGTCCCTCCTTCGCTGCCGTATGTCGCAACAGACCACTGAGGGCCTTCGAGATGGTTTTGCCACGCTCTCGCCCCAGAAACTGGGGCGAGTGATCCCTCCATTGTGCTCTCCCTCGTGCCTGGGTCTCAGTCGCCCTATTCGGCTCCTGGAAGCGGTCACTGCTGTCTGCTTGAGCTTTGCGGCTCCTGCGGCCTCGCCTCTGTGGCGAGATTGGCGGCGATGGTGGTCTTCTGCGAACACCGGGGCCTTTGCTCGAGGATGAGCTGGAGGGGCCGACCGCGGCACCCTCGTAAGACCACTTGTGGTCGTGGCTCCATGGCCGTGCTGCCGATGCAGACAAAGGGCCACTCACTGCAGTCTCCTCCTCCTCCCCTCCGCCACCTGGTGATGAGGTCTCCTATGACGGCGGGATCCACTCCTGGGCGGTGAGATCGGGAGCGTTGGCGGCCTCCGCTTCCTTCGTGGAGGGTCATCACAGGCTTCAGCAGAGTCGGGCTCTGCCTGCTGCGGTCCTCTATGTTCGCCTGCACTTCTGTTGGGGCCGTACTCGGCACGCCATGTGCCCTCCTCCTCAGGCTCCCACCTGCGCGACTCGTGCTTCCGGGCTCGCTGCCGTCTCTTCTCCAGCTCGCCCTTCGTTCTTCTTCGAGTGCCGTCTGTGGCGCAATTCTGCAAGTTGCTACCATGACATCCCTTCCGTGACAGGTCTGTTGCAAGATTGCTGCTACTGGCGATGCCACTCCCTCTGAGAGGCTTGGAGTGCCTGCGGGTTTCATGCCAGCACTGCACCCTACTGCAATTGAGGACACGAGTGAACTGGCAGTCTTCACAGCTGTCCAGACCTTGCAAGCAACCATGCAGACTCAGTGCCCGACGCTTGTACAAGACGGCAGTCGCAATGAGACTCCCACTGTTTTGGCATCTGTGGTCGACCTGGCAGCACAAGGGGCCGTACCCGGTCTCCCGAGGCACTCAGTGTGTTCCTGTCTCAGGGTCGGGACAGCAACCTCGTCATTAATCCATCTTATGCAGGTTGATGACTCTGCTTCTGCGATCGCGGTCCTGATGAGTGTCATCCTGGCACTGCCTGAAGTAAGCGCGAAGCTTACCCCGGGCGGCAATTCCAATGAGCTTCCCACTACTGATCTCTTCACCGATGACTTGACAGCAGGTGGGGCCGATGCCGGATTCCCGTGGCTTTCCAGGGTTCCCTCAGTCAGCGTCTGAATTCCTTTCTCGCAATCAATCCATCTCCTGCAGGTTAATGGTGCAGTGCCTGTGATCATGCTTCTGTTGGGCAACATCCAAGGCGGCTCTTGCCAATGCGTCCCGCTGAGCGGAGCATGTGTACCCAAAAGCTCGGGCCATCTTTGATGCTTTCGGAGCACTGTGATAAGAAGCAGGCATCTTATTACCACTCTTGCGCTTTGGAGGGCCGGCAACAACCTGCATGACCACATCCCCTGTGTCGGATGCTGCTTGGCTCCCTGCAGGGGCCGTGTTCTTCTTGTCTTCCGCCTTGTTCTCTTCGATTTTTGATTCATCCTTCCATGGCATTCAGCTACGCGTGTGGTTCACACCCTCTGGTGGGGCGCAGCTATGTACAGATCTACCCCCCCCTCGAACAAAACACAAAACTCGAGCCGAGAAGCTTAAACCAACAACCAGCAGCATTGGACGGATATAGTGCCCAAAGCTGTGCACCGTGAGCCCCCTTTCCAAACAAAATCCAATCCCGCGAGAACCCTTGAAATGAGTACGACACCGCAGCTCTCAGAGTGTCTCAGCGAATATCTCAAAGAATACCTCATCGAATATGCCATCGAATAGCTCACCCCCCCGGGCCACTACGTAGCAGTACAACAGCGGCACTGGCATTGGCTTCAGTAGTCATTAGGGCACTATGCTGTCTTTTCCATGCTGGGCAACGCTCAGCTTCAGACCAAGCAGCGTGCTGAAGAGAAGAAGAAGACGGGGCGAGGACACACAGGGGTCGTGAAGTGACAAAGAAGTGAGGGTTAATCATGGCATGGCGTTTGCGACCTGTCCGGGGAGGCCTCCAAGGATCACTGAGTTACTGTAACTGTGTTTTGCGAGCGGGTTGGGGGTTTTCGGATGGCGTTTTTCGATGCTGGACTTCTCTGTTGCGCCACCGGGGTTCGGACTCTGCTCCAGGGGACTTCCTTCGCGGTGAAACCCTGCACCAGTCCTGTCAGTCCCTGCATCTTTTCCATCCTGATTTGAGAGGCAACCCGGCGATAGCCCTCCAGCGGAATGTACTTTGTTGTCGTCTTGCCATGTGCTATCATCCTTACAGGACCTTCGCATCGTGAAGGGCATGCCCGGATCGAGGCATCAGCACGGCGGGCTCCGTTTGATTCGCTTGGTTTCCCTTTCCGAAAGCACTAGGGCATAGTTTTTGCGAGTGTTTACTCGACAACGCAGCGTGAACCATGTGGCGACGCACCAACTCACCCATTCGTTCAACCTTGTTTACAGCGTGCCGGCCGCCGGCACCGCGAGTTTGAGTAATTGATACGCATTGGCATGTGTAGGGGGAGGCACTACAAAGCACTTCACATGTTTTCGTGTGACGGTCACCTGCCGCATTCGCTGGTCCTCGAGCTCAGGACACCTTTCATCTTTCAAAGTCGCAGTCACGCATGAGTTGATGGCCGACCGGACGAGTAGGTCTAAGCCGGGATGCAATGTACAGACTTCCCAACAAGGCAGCCACAAGTGCACGCCATTTGCTGAAATTAGCTAAACCAAGTATCTGTCAGACCGACATCGGGGAAGAGTACTGCAAGGTCAGGACATCGGGGCATCGAGGTATTGTGCGATCCGTAGTAAAATAAGAAAGAAGGGAGGTGTAGCGCTTGATGAATCTGATGAATCAACATTAGGTAGTTTCTGTGTGCTTTTCTTTGGGGTGAAGCAAGTTTTGACCGGTGAGGCTTAATCAGGCAGCACTGTTGCGATGTCTGGCTCGTATTGCGCATCAGATCGGTTTCCTGAGCTCCAGTTTGCATGAAGCTCCTGAGCAAAGCACTTGCTCGAAGCAATGTTGCGAGGCGGAGCGACCGAACACTACTGAAAGTAGAATTGCACATGCAAAAATCCAAAGGGCTTGCATTCTTGCGATTCACAGGTGTATCAGTCAATTCAGCCAAAGGCTCCATGATATATTCTGGGCCCAGGCCAAGCTTAATGGAGGGACTGAGGACGCCGAACACCCAGATGCAAGCAAAACTGCGTGGGTATTCAGAGGGACAGTCTTTGAGGCCACACCTGCCAACGCAGGCCTGCAAGGGATCATTGCTCAATTCACGTCGGCATTGAAGTCTGTCAGGGGCTGCTCTGCAGCCTTCGCCATCCCTCAAAACCAAGGCATTTGGGATCCTGCATGGTCAACACTGTTCCTGCTCGCAATCTGCAAGAACTCAGAACCCTGAGGCGATGCCGAAAAGATCTGAAAAAGAGATACAGGCCTGAGCTGAGAAACAGGCAAATAGCCTTGGTGCTCTGACGCTACACTTACGGTCTCTTGCAGGAGCAAGCTCGCCAGATGGCCCAGGACACCTTAAGGAGCCTTCCTGAAGAGGCGCCACCAGCGCCAGCTAGGCTAGCGCCAGCTAGGCTAGCACCAGCTGCCCACTTGCGCTTGCTCCGTGGCTGGCAAGGTGCAGGAGAAGCAGTTGCCAGCGCTGATTGAGAAATTGGTGAACAAACTCAGGAAAGCCGAGCAGGTGCACAGTTTGCTGTTGCGCAAGCGCCAGGGCAGCCTGGGTGCAGCTCACCGTCTCTCACTGCTTGAGGAAAAGATGGAGGAAGTTGTGGCAGTTCCGGCACCGCCACCCGTGGCTGAGGTGATACTTGGCAGAGTTGGCCCTATCCACTTAGTGGCTTTTCCTAAACTTTGGGCTGACAGCTCATGCGCAGAGTTTGGTCTCCTGTCTGGCAGCGCCCGAGGAAAGAGCCGGAACCTCCTCCACCGACCCCTGCCATGAAGGCACGGGGCACAGGGTGCCCTCGCCGTGGCAGGGCCGATGTGTGCTTGATGCTACTAGCGCGAGCCTTTTGCATCATTTGCCTGTCGAAGTGATTGGATTGTTTAACATTGCCGTGCCGTCCGTCGTTCCCTGTAGGATCCAGCATTGAGGCCTATTTTTTGCTTCTGCAGCCTGTTTTTGGGCGCACCCGGCCTCCCTGACTACGTGCGGCTTTGAGCTGTGGTTTCCGCTTTGAGAGTACTTGTTTTACCCCGAAGCCTCTATACAGAGCTGGTCATGTCCTTTGCAAGTGCTTTGCTGCGCGAAATTGCGACCCCAGTCGCTGGGTGGCCTCCTCGCCGGCCGTCCGCCCTCGTCCGCCCTACTCGTGTCGCTCCCCTTTCCCCTCCGTGATGTTGGAACACGCTGCAGTGCTTTCACGAAATCTCTAGGTTGTCGTCACTTCCACCGCGATTCTGACTTCTGCTCTAATTTGTTCACGCAAGCAGCTTCGGAATGCACTTCACCCCGGTCTAGCATGAACTAAGACCAGTGTGGTTCATCAATCGCAGGCTATTCCATTGGTTCCCGGAGTTTTGGGACAAGGCTTGGTACCGGCCAAAGTATCTCATCTGCAAAGGACGACGTTCGGATATGGCTTTGCACACTACCACGTACCACGTTGAAAAAAATGCATAATGTTTTAAATCATCTGAAGCAACATATGCAAGCCGTAGACTGGCCGGACATTCCTCCTACCCAAGTCTCTTTGTCTGAGGCAACCATGGTCCTGCTGTCACTGTTGTCAGATGTTGTCAGACGTTGTCAGATGTTTTCCGCATGTCTGTGAGTTCTTGCGGAAGAGCCAGGTCACTAGTGCCATCGAGTCGCTGCAGGCGCAAGCCGTGCGCTTCGCAGAGGTATTGCCAGGCATTCCGAGGCATTGCGAGATCGAACCTCGTCACCGTCGCCGCGCCGCTGTGCGGTGCAGTTCTGAGGCTAAGCCTGGCGCTGGGACCGCGCACCTTGCGGAGGAGAAGGCTCGGGCTCTCGGCCTCTGGAGAAGGGTTCGAGTGTAGAGGTTCCCACACAGAGCTTCCCACTTAAGGCTGCGAAGATGCTCGGTGCAAAGGCCGCTGCATTCCAGGCAAAGCTCGCAGTGCCACGTGTTGTGTTTGACAGGACATTCCTGCTGGAATGTGCAGTGATGAGCTCGAGATCAATGACTATCCACAAATTGCGCGACAGAAGATCACGCATCGGGACTCTTTGGTTGAGTACGATACTTGCCCACTTGCTAGAGAGGGGCACAGAGCCTGCTTTTGTGCAGTCCGAACTTCTGCATAGATTGTGGAGGATCCGCTTGTCGCAATCGAAGAGATGACTGGTGCGAAAGTACAGGCTTGTGCTGTCGCGGATGTACTTTTGCCCTAACAGTGGTGCAAGACCAGGTCAAGGGCCAACACTTTGCTTCGGCAGCACGAATGCCTGAAGGCTATGATATCGCCAGCATCGAAGTCTCAAATTGATACTAGGCTGCTGCACGGTCCTGCCAGGTGCGAAGAAGCTGTACGTTGAGATTATAGGCTGGCCTCGGAGGTTACTGTCGTTGAGTACAGTCTCAAGCGACTTGCAAGTCAGGTCCAACACAGGTCTCCGTGGCGAAAGCCAAGCATGAAGTCTACAAGATGATGGAGGTCGTGCACTGAGAGTGAGGTAGTCTCGTTGATCTGTTTCGAGTGCATGACTGCATGACGCACCGGAAGCACTGGATGGGAGGCTCTCGCAATCAGAACCCTCAACATTCCTGGATTGACGCGTGCAGTGACGGGCGCTCCGGGAAGGCCACTGCAAGTTGCAGGTGCCGTGAGCGCTGATACAATGTGACTGTGGAGGTACGATCCGGTCGTCGGCAAGTAGAACTTCTGTGTAAGCGGATCCGACGAAGAGCCCACGACGAGCCAGCGGCAGCAAGAGTCTGAGAGACAGTCTGACAGTCTCAAGTGGAGGGGATTTTTGTCGCCCCCAGAAACGAGAGGACGAGCAGACCGAAGTTGCCGCGACTGACGCCTGCTTTCCGTTCTCACGGTTCGCCCGCAGAAAAGCGATAGAAGGTGGCCGAAGCTGGCTAGCTCTGTGCATTTGGAGTGCTTTGATTTCCATTTGTCCGAAGCGTCTGGTTCAAGCTCAAATTCACTTACCGTCTGCAGGCTGGAGCTTTGTCTCTCTTGGTGGGTTCATGCTCGAGACAATCGAACACAGAATCTTTGAAAGACGTCTGAAGGCCCGTGCAGTTATTGCTAGGTGGTGCTTCTGGTGGATCTTTATGTAAAAGGTGCGCGAAATTTTCCCCACGAACAGTTTCACATCTTCGCCCATCTTGGTTTACATTCATCCACTTTGTGCTGTGGATGATGTTTTTGTTTCGTACATCGCGGAGAGGGAAGGGAGCAGGAGCAGCAGAATCTGGCGAGGCATGTTCCAATTGCTTGCCAATGAAGGAGTCTTGTGCCGGACGGTCGGGAGACATTGTCATCGGAATATATCGGAATCATGGTTTCATACACGCACTGCCTGTAATTTTGTCTCGTTCTCCGCCTCCAAGAAATTAACTCGCATGCAGGCCCAGACAGCATGACTCGCGGGAACCAGCGCGATCGCGACCGTGAGCGAGCGGCCAACCGTAATGCAGGCCAAGTGTGGCGAGTCGGACCTTGTGTCATGTTCTACTGATAACAGTTCTCAGCCCGAGGTGCCAAGTCAAATTCGACTATCAAGACCAAAGAGGATACTGCAGTGGTGGCCTCATGCTCAGAACAGCACTTGACCAGACGGCTTGCGGCTCGAGGCGATAATGCGCGAGAAGCAGCGCCTTGCAGAGGAGAAGAAGGCAGGAATGTTTCGCAAGTTTATTGTTTTTGGGCCAAGATTCTTGTGGATAGGCTGCTGACAGTTCCGGAGGGGGCGGAGGCAAAAGTAAGTGACTCGTAGAGTACAGGTCTGAGACTTTGCAGAGTTTGGATGCGACAGCAAACGGCAGTCAGGGCTGCCAAAGCCACTCATGGATCGTGAGTCCACTCAGGACAGCAGAACGGAAGCGGAGAGCTGCAAGCGCACAAAGTGAGAAGACTTGGCAGCCCACGATCCAAAACTTGCCGTTTAAGACCTCCGGAGGGGGCGTGCAGAACATTGCAGAACTACTAGCTGTTTTTGCAGATGCACCAGGCGCTGCAAGGCCATGCTTGAGAACTTGGGCTACGCCCAGCAAAGACCTACCAACGAGTTTGCTAGCGAGGAAAAAGCTGCCCCGAACTGGCATTCGCACGGCTTTGACTTGAAAGGGATAATAGTCTTCGTCTGAAGAGTCCACGCTGGGTTCTGGGCCCAAGCACTGCGTCTTTCAAGGCTTCTCCAAGGACCAAGCCTACAATTTTGTGTGCATCTCGCGGACAGGTTTCACTTTCAATGTTTCCCTTCCCTCGCTCTCACACCGCCCAACTGCATCCGAAGGACGACAAACGACTGGCCAAAATGTTCATGCCGGAGCGATTTAAAGTTGGGGTCCTGTCGCTTTAGCATACGAAAATCTTGCCCCTGGGCATCATATGCTCGTCGCTGGTCTTAAGGAATATCATCGCACCCTGCGGCAAAAGAGAAGCGAAGAGTTGCCTGGTCCTCCGATGTCCTCCGTGTCAGTGCACTGGCACAACGTGGATGCTGAGGTCGATGAAACAGGTCGCTGGCTCTTTTGGAGGATTGTACGCCTTTGGCCTACACTGAATAGACCTCCCACGCTCTCGAGTGGTGTATAGGTGTTTGCAACCGAGGCTGTGATTCACCTTCTCCAATACTTCGATATTTGGACGTGCGGCGGCTCAGCAGCTGCCTTGATTTCACAGTTGGGCTGCTTTGTAATGTGAGGTTGTTGCTGCTCATGGTCGGTGCATACTTCGTTTATAGGTGCCCACACCCGTTTTGCTTCAGCGGTCGTTGCAACTTCTTCATCTGCTGGTTTTCATGCCAGACAAATTGTGGACAACTGGAGCAAGGTTTGGCTCGCCTTCAACCAGGACAGAAAATTCCGGATCAGATGTCCGAAGCATCATGATCAAGTCCGAATTGTCTCAAGACGTTTGTCGGCGTTTGTTGCAAATATTCGCAGGCCAGCTTCAGTGTTCAAATTATCCACCCTTTTTCAGGTGCTTCCTGTTGTGAACCGAATCGTGCTTGTGCTGGCTTGTTTTGACGAAAGTATCGTTGTCGCCGTCGCTGTCGTCGTCGATTCAGTGGCTGCAAGCTGCTGCTGCTGCTGCTGCTGTCGCCGTTGCTGCTGCTGCTGCTGCTGCTGCTGCTGGTGTTGTTGTTGTTGTTGCTGCTGCTGCTGTTGTTGTTGCTGTTGTTGTTGTTGTTGTTCCTTCCATAGCCCTCTTCACGCGCATTCGAACGCGCAAATTCCTTGAGTTTTTCACACCTTCCTCAAACTTCAGTATCTTGGCATCTTTATAGCTTCCGAACACTCTTGTTGGCAGCTGCTCCGAGGCCAAAACTCCAGTTTTAACGCGTTTTGACGCAGAAACGTGTGATTTCCACACCAAGGCCAATCAACATAAATATTCTGTTTTTCGTGGTATTTACAATGCAAAACGCTTGTCTGTCTTGCCGCACGCGCGTGAACAAGGCTACGGAGCGTTATTGGTAACGGCTGTGTAACGGATCCCACGCTTTCTGCCTTGTCAGGCCAGGAAAACCCTGGCCCTGCCGACACACTC